AAAAAAAAAAAAAAAAAACAAAAAAAAAAAAATAAAACACTTAATTAGTTAAACACTTAATTTTTTTTAGGGAAATGAGCGGACATAGTACATTATACTAGCCTTCTCGTTTACATTTGGTGGTTTTGGGCTGTTTTGGTAAGCCCTGTTATTTCTGAATTTTGGTTGATTGTAAAGTTTCTCGGGATTAAAGTCAGATTTTGAATATCGACGACGTTGCCGCAGTCTATACTGGAATCTAGGTTGAGTCTTAATGGGGAGTGGGGCTTGCAAAATAAGGTGATTTTTAAATACTTGAGCGTGATTTTTGGGGGTGGGGGGATGGGCGAGTATTTTTGCTTGTCGTAGCGTCGAAGGACATCCGGGGGTGTGTGCTTGTCTGGTACTATAATTTTCTTTGCTCGCTGGCGGCGCTCTTTAGACACATGGAACTCTATAAAGAAGTACGTACCAAAACACAAGCACGCGTTTTGAGATAATGGAAGTTCCTACGTTGCATGACATTTGTCTTAGGACTGTCGCAACATTAAGTGACACTCTTGGATGGGAACTCATGAAAGGTATTTATTGGTCTTTCGATTATCTCAGGAATATTTCGAACAATCGTATTCATATTATTAAATCGGCCTATGCTATGGGCATGTCTAGGCCAAGCCGAAAACCAACAAAAAAAAAGAAGGCCAAACAAGCGTGTGTTAGTGTTCTGCCTCAGCCTCCAAATAGCCCTGAATGGTTGCAGGTAAAATTGGCCTAGGCCTCATTACGATAAATATAAGCCTAGGCCAGGCTGTAACGTTTCTAACTGCATCTTTTTAATTTTTCTAGATTTACCACAGCATGTTCTTTCAAGTCTGATCGAACTTTTACCCTTTTTATGTCTGAATGACATCCACGATGGATTACTAGATAGAGGTACGTACTAAAAAGTATATTTTACTCTTTAGTTTAGTAGCTATTCTTCCATGTCAACTTGTTTTGTTTTAATTTGCTGCAAATGCACCGCCATGAAAATATCCCTATCTTTTAACCATTAGCGCTTCTTCGAAAACATCGACTGATTTCACTACAAAAACCGTAGCTCAAAAACTAGAGGTCGGATAAATTAGGTTGAAATGCTTCATGGTTATAAATATAGCTAATTTACAAAATATTTATTTTCAAATATTAACCCTGTCATACTCATTTTTTTTTGTTGAATTACAAAAATATAGGCAGTATTAGTATGTTTTGAGCTGGGTTATGTCCTATCATTTCTTTACTATGTCATAACTTTGCCTACACTAAACCAATCACTTAGGTTGAAGCAGCAAAAAAAGCAAATTTTCTTGTGATCAATTATATATTACAATTAATCTAATTGGATAAAATTTTCTTCCATCATTTTTTAGTTCTATCAAAGGCATTCAAGAGCAAGCACTACCCAGGCTTACAGCTGGCCCAGGGAATTGGCATGTGTCATTTTCTGAACTGAAGAAAATAATGCTACCTGCTGTATCAAAGACTTGATAGTGAACAAATTTTTATACACCCGTTTCAGATAATCAAATTGCTCAAACACTGCGCTGTGGAGCGCACTCAATCAGCAGTGCAAATTTTTGTTTTTCTTACACGCGCGCATTATTAAAAATGTTTTGTTATGTGGTCAAATCAAGCCAAACAAATTTATGAGCGAGCCAAATGGCCGAGCGGTTAAGGCATGGGCACTGTGATCATATCCCACAATATCAGCACAGGTTCGCGGCCGGCTCGCTCCTATAGTTCTGGTGGTGAAACAAGTCTTCTCGGATAAGGACTATAAACTGTAGGCCCAGTGTACACAAATGCTCATAAGCACTTTAAATCCATCTATTATTATCTATTATTATATGCCATAACTCAGCCCCATGTCAACTCGGCCCCATGTCAACTCGGCCCCAATTCAACTCGGCCCCATGTCAACCCGGCCCCCTAGTCAACTCGGCCCCATGTCAACTCGGCCCAATGTCAACTCGGCCCCATCTCAACTTGGCCCCATGTCTACTCTCTCCCAAAGTCAACTTGGCCCCAAGTCAACTCGGCCCCGTAGTCTAATATAATTTAGATTAAATTTCAGAAAAATAAAAATTATAATATTTACCCACATGAAGTCAAAAAATAATTGTAGGCTAATGGAATAAAACAAGTGGATGAAAACATTTTTTATGAAAAACCCATACATCCACAAGCAGAAACAACCTTGATTACGCAGCGTTTATTGCAGTAATTATGTAGCCATTTTATTTTGTCGAGTTTTTACCAGTTTTCTAATAGACTGGTCGATTTTACCACTGCACAGGTGGGCGTGGTTTAACGAACGATCAGTCGAATACAGCCATTGAGATGTCCTACCTCATTGTTGTTGTCACTTCTTTAATAGGTGTTGATCCTCAGCATGTGTGGATGAAACATTACAGAGAGGGATTCAAGTACTCTGGAAGAAGAGAATTTTGGTTGCTGCAACAGAGTAGTAATGAATGTGATTGGAGACAACGCTACTTAGATTTTTGTTCAAACAAATTACTAAGGCAGATTGCGCAGTTCCAAAGACTCTTTTGTGATGGTTAGTTAATTTTTTTCTGTTTGAAATTGAAGGTTTACATAATGACAAAAGGCGAAGTAACTGCTTGCACCACATAGGCATTTTTCTCATAGTAGTATTTCTTGCCCGGCTGTCCCATGACAAAATAACATAACTGCTTTTATATTTTTGTTAAGTTGCGTTGTTTTGCTTTGGAATGGCCATGCCTCAAATTGTACTATTGTTAATAGAATAAACATTCATCCATCCAAATTTAACTAAAAAAATGATATCTTTATAGCCAAATGGGCATCTAGATGTATGAAAAACTGTTTGGTGTGAAAGAATGTTTTTTTTTACCTTGGGAGTTATGGACACCTCCTCCAAAACCATGCCAGCTTTCTGGCTATGCCCTTCGACTGTTGTTTCAAGCCAAATGTGCGACCCAGTAGGGAATCTAGGGGATCCCCTACCGAGGTCCCTGGACTATGAGTGCCATTTCCGTGTGCATATAGACACATCTGTTCTTAAAATTAGCTTCAACCACATTGAGGCTGATGTGGGAGTGGATCCTCATTGGGCAGCTTGGACCAGGAAATTGAACTCATCGTTGGGAAATCTCTGGCATCGCCTCTGAAGCGCCTACTGCTCATTTTGTTTGACTCCCTATATTTTTCTTATTTTGTTACAAAGCACTCTGTTTTCCTGGGTCATTGGGTCCACATGCTTAAGTGTTGCTGCCATATTGGCGCAGTAGCAGGCAACTCGACCTGGTGCCTATCAAAGATCTTATAAACACAAGATAGAATGCTCCGCGATGTGCAAATTCTGTAATAACGCATGAACAGCGCCCTCTTGCAAAATTGAAAACATTTGAACCTTGACTGCTCTGACCATAGGGTACGCCGCGCGACTTTACGTGTAACAATTAGAAGCGTTTGATTTACAATGCGCCTTCTCTTTAGAACATAAGGAACAAATTTACGTACTTGGTAACAAGCTTTGGCATAACACAAACACCCTATATCAGATCCATGGCAACGACTAGGACGCCCTCTCCCAAAACCGATTACTGTTCTGTGCCAAATCGATGCTTCTATTTGTTACGTGTAAAATCGTGGCGAACACTATCTTGCGTTTATAAGATCTTTGGTGCCTATTTATAATCCTGGGTGGAGAGAAGCAACTAAGATAAAGTGCCTTGCTTAAGGATACAAGCGAAGTGCACAGTGATTGATTGAAACCCTGACCTTGAGGTTAGGAACTAAACTGTTCCCACTGCACCCAACTGCCTCAACAAGAAGCATTTTACTTGATTCTTCTGAAGCAAATCCAGTTATTATCTATTCCAACACGACGAATACGAATACTAATACGAATGAACTTTATAACAATTACAATTACTATCAAGAATCATTTTGACAGCACCTTTTATACAGCTGTATACAGTATAGTATGTTTGTTGCATACAGTTATCAAATTGTTATGTCTGTTGTCGTTCTGACAACGTTCTACTTAATTTTCAGTCTATGGAGCTCATAGATTCCTAGGCCACATTCATGCGTTCTGTGCGTTCTTTTTGTTTTTTTCAGATGTTGTTAATGACAAGATCACTAAGGCCCTCACAAATCCTCTTGATTCAATAGTGCAGCATGGGCATGTCAACAAAAACAAGTCTCATTCCAAGTATTCACCAAAGGCGATCAATATTTGGGGAAGTGCTTGTAATATCTTGTCTACTAATACTGTTGCTAAAGACATTCTGACAGATACTGTGGAAGAGGTTACTTTTGAACATCTGGTGTCATCACAAGTAGATAAAGTTCACCAGCTAATATGCCATTTGTTGATGCAAGGACACATTCATACAATCAACATTAAGGATGTTAAATCTACTTTTTTCAATGAATTTTTCAAGTGTCTTAGACTGAGAAGCCAAATTTGTAAGTACAATAATGTTAATTTCTGTTTAGTAGATTCTAAAGTTATGATTGCTGTTGACTAACTTTGACAAAGATGAAGGGTAGAATAGTCAAAATTTGAACATACTTTTGAGCATACAAAATGTGCATTGACATTTTATATTATACACAATTTTACCACTCAGCTTTTTAGCATGTGAAAAACAGTCTGGTTGTTTTACCTGGGGGTGGGGATGTATTTGCTTGGATAAACTTAACCACAGCTTGGGTAATTCTACCAACACTAATGTTATTAAAGCTGTTCGACCAAAACAAGTCTGAAAACAAGGCTTCTGAGGTAGTTAAATGAAAAAAATACACTTCATATTTTTGATTTTTAGATTTTTGCACCCAAACTTTGATTTTTCAGTGTGTTTTTAACAGGTGATTGGTGTCAGGCCAAACAAAACAAGGGGTTTTGTAGCCAAATTCCTTTTCGCAGACTGCAACAAAAAATTGCCATCAGACCACATGTGACCAGTGGCCGCATATGGCCGGGGGGAGAAGGAACACTCTTCCCAACTGTGATTTAAGGGCTTTAAGCAAAGAACATAGGATCTATATTATTTAATTGGTGAGAATACAGTATATTAATTCATAATTATTACAAAAATAGAAATTGCATACAACTTCAGCAGTTATGACTCCTTATGTGAGTATATTACTGAAATTTATAAACCACTATTCAGTTTGCGTCCTTTTATATGTTTTTCCTTTTCTCACAGCACCTGGTGATGGAATCCATACTTTCAATCCATCCCATAATAGATGTGCAGAAAACAGTGAACCAGATCTTGTCTTGCCACCCAGCATTTGCAATGCATTGTCTAGGTTGAAAAGAGTTTCTCTAGTTAGTGTTGAATTTCATGAAGCAAGTCTAAAGATACTAAAGAGCCTGTTCCTAAATATGGACAAATTAGATGAAATTGAATTAATAGATAATGGTAAGTGATATAAATAATTATTAATAATTAATTTTAGATATATTTCACAAGAAACTTGAATCTTAACTTCCTTTTTTTTTTGCAGGTATACCAAGCACCATGAATGTTTTGACTTGTCTCGGTTTGCTCACTGATGACCGCCAACGATCACTGTCTATAATTAAATATGAACATAATGCGATTTTAGGTTGCTTTGCAACAATCCAAGAAATTATACGTCATCAAGGCCACATAGGTACGTAAGGCAAACAGAAATATGCATTCCCCTAGCCTAAAATTTTGAAAAGCGGCATTATTATTATTTGCTGCATCATCAATCTTTCATTGGAGTTCTTCTCAATAAATGAATTACAGTTGTAAGAGCTATTCCATGTGCTATCAGCCTAACCATTATCTTCATGATCGTTATCATTGCGGTGGCAACATACAATCATCACCAAAGCAATAGATAAAAATGAAATAATAACTGACAAAGTTATTTTCTTGTTGTTTTTGTTAGATACAATTTGCTGCATCACCCATCTTTCATTGGAGTTTTGCTCAATGACTGAATTACAGTTGTATCAGCTATTCAGTGTGCTATCAGGTAAATTAACATAACCATTACCTTACCTATTTCCTTCAGGTAAAGTAACCCATAAGGCTAAACATAACCACTTATAATGATTGTAATATTAAAAATATGTTTGATATGATTATAACATCATATGTTCCTATATTCTGTTGCTGTTATTTGTTCTATGTGACAAGACATTTCCTCTGCTAGTATATATCGTTGTTAGTGGGTTTTTTTTCGTATACATCTATGTACATATTGTTGTTACAACAATAATTTTTTTTTTAATCATTATTTACCATTAATTGAAATAAATGTTGGTGACACTGACACGTTTTTTTATATTGTGTTTAAACGTTGCTATGCAGCAACACTATATATTGGATATATTTTGCCTACAACTTGTTTCCAGCTTACAGTTGCTTCACTGTGTGTGAGTGCAAAGTATCTGGGAAATAGGTACTGTGATAATAACAATGGTCTCTGGTCTATTAGCATGGCACTCTCCGTGAGAGCAAGAAGTTGCAGGTTTGAGTCCTGCTGTAGGACCCTTATTTTCATACAATTAATGTAATTATTTTGTAATCTGTCTCCTTGCAGAAAATAAGAAAATGATGTTTTTAAGTGTATATGGGAATCAGATAGACAGCATGCAGCCCTCACTGTTAAAGCTCTTTCAAGATGGATGCCTGCAGGGTTTAGACCTAGGCCAGACTAAGTTTACCCTAACAGGATCTGGTAAGATTAAGTTCAGGTTTGCATATGCAATATATACTGTAAGCTTCTGCATGCTTCAGTGGTCATCTAAGTCAAATACCAGCACATAAAAGATATTAATATTGTTTCTATTGAATGGATAGGTGAATTTATTCAGTGTAAACACCAAGGAAGTCTGAAGAAGACTTATTTTCAGTGAGGTCCTTCTGGTGGTGATTGGGCAGTACACGGTAGACAATCCCCTACTCTTTTCCAAAGAGTGTACTGCATTCTTTAACGTGCGCACAGGCCATATTGCACACAGGATAAAAGGATTAAACATCCCATCCAAAAGACGGTGCGCTAACTTGCATTTCAGCCCTCCACATGAAACACAAGGAGAGCAGTGATAGGAATTGAACTTGGAACCTAGAGATCCCACGGTTCAGCGCGGCTACCACCAGTTTAGCCGAATGAGCTAAGCTGGTTTTGTTCATACGTTAATTATAACTCATGTTTACATATGTTAATAGTGGTTATGTTGAATCTATTAAACCTTCAGGTGTTACCACAGATTTTGTGACTGAACTTTTGGCAACTATGATGACCAACAGACACTTGAGGTACCTAGGGCTGGCTTCTACTATGCTTAGTAAGTCCTTTGCCAATATTGTGCAGTTTTATTTATATCATGGGTTGTTGTTGGTGTATTTCATATGAAAGTAATCAAGTGGGATGTGCATAGAAACATTAGCATTATGCATTACAGTATATAAGACTGATTATGCACTATAAGACTGATTATGCACTTAAGAATAATTATGCATTATAAGACTTATTATGCACTATAAGACTGATTATGCACTATATAAGACCGATTATGTATTATGCACTATATAAGACCGATTATGTATTATTCAGGACCACTTATGCACTATAAGACTGATTATGCACTATAAGACTGATTATGCCCTATAAGACTGATTATGCACTAAGACCAATAATGCATTATACAAGACCAATTAGGCACTATAAGACTGATTATGCACTATGTAAAGCAGATTATTGTTATTTATTTGTGAATGATGAGGTACTTTCCTTTTCCAGGTGATGCTTGCCTCTTGAAACTTGCAACTGGAATCACAGATGAGGCTTTTGATTCAGAACTATATAGCATAGATATAAGGTAGGTCCATGAATTAGTAGCATGCTAGATGGAGCTTGTCTTCCAATCCAAGAATATTTTTTCATACAGTTAGCCATGTCAATTCAATCAATCAATCAATCAGTCAATCAATCAATCAATAAACCAATCAATCAGTCAATCAATCAATAAACCAATCAATCAATCAATCAATCAATCAATCATTTAATTAATCAATAATTAATAGCAAACATATATGTATCTGCAATGTAGAATACATACAGTACATATATACAACTGATACATAGATACTCATATAAAGTATATTCAAGGTGTTTATAGCCACCATTGCTGAATTTTGTTTCCTGATCAATAGATACAGGACCAGCCAATATTGCTTGTCAACCCTTGTTAATTTAAAATAGAAAATAAACTCTGCTTTCTTTATTTTTTTGATGCAGCTTCAACAGGAGAATATCTCCTGAAGGTTTGAGAGCATTTGGGCAAGAACTTTTACTAAGCTTTAAGCCGACAAAACTAAGATATCTACGGCTTCAACATAACTATACTTCGGGTCTAGAATCTGATTACTTCAAGGACCTTCACAATGTTGTTAATGTCCACAAAGCAGGACCATCCGAGGATGCAGAGACTGACTTTAATGACCATGTGGCCAACATGTAGAACATACAGTAAGACTGTTAACATATACAGGTAAGAAGAACAGTGTTGATAATAATAATAGAATTGCTCTATCTGTTTGTAAAACAAAATATAGAGCTTTCCCTCATTGACATATGGAGAATTGATTTTGAAGTTGTAAAGCCAAAACAAAATCATAATAAACACAAGGACTGCAATGGTACTGGTGAAGGGAGTGGGGAGTAATACCATATATGGCTATACAACCCAACACTGACATAAATTGTTGGTTGAGTGAATATTGTTTATGTATTTCATTTCACAGTAGTTTTGCAGTGAATCCAGCTATAGAAATTTATTAATTTAAGTACCAGTTTATTAATATTACAAATACTGTACGTAGAATATCATTTTTACTAGGCACATCTTTATTACATTGTCTTTGCTTGGACCAAGTTTGAAGATGGTCCAAGCATGTAAAATGACCAAAGAGAAGGGTAGAAAAACACTGTGCAAATACAAAGGAAAACAGGATAGAAAACAAAATCAGAACAAACAAACAAACAAACAAACAACAACACAGTATACACAACATGAATGAAAGTGGTATAGGTTGAGAAAAGAGGATGATGATGTGGATAATTATGAGGTGCTATATTAATCCATGTATTATTAATATAGTGATGATGATGTTGATAATGATGATAATGTTGATAATGAAGAGGTGTTGTAATTGATCTATATTATATAATGATCTATATTATAAAATGATCATAATATTAATAAATTATAATATATTATTAATATTATGATTTCTTTTTCAAAATGTAGGTATGGCCAGTCCTGCTGTATTATTCAACAAGGGAAAACCCAATCAGTGTCCAAATCAGCATTCCATTGGGCCCTTCGGTGGTCAGTTGATGGTCAGTGATGAATATTTGTAAGAAAAGGAAGAAAGAAAAACAGCAATATTTTAATCAATGCTGATCTCAAGACATTTTAATGTTTTTCAAAGTAAGTCGCTTAAATTATACTATCATAATATCTTGAAACACCTTAAAAATTCAGTCAAAACATTGAATAAATTATATAAAGGATCAACTAAGTTGAGATAACAATATTTGGTTATTTTAGGTGAAAGTTGGAGATTTTCAATGAACCTCATCAAACTAGTAAAAAGTGGTATGTTAAAATTTGACTTAGTTAACAAGAAAATTTCCCCTAAATAATAATTAAATATACTGTACATTGAATTAGGATATATTTTTTTTTTACTTTTAAATTTATTAATGCAATACAGACAGTACATCTTTATATAATATTATAAATATCTCTTTTTTCATGAACTGCAAAAACCTGAAATTAGACAAGATGACAATTTTCTGACATTTTGGCTGTTAGCGTGTTTTGCCAGAAATAGTTTTGTAGATATGGGTAATTCCGTGTCAAATCAACCAGAGGTCCCAGGTCGACCGTCTCCGATTTTTATAAAACTTCTTAAAAATGATCCACTATATGAAAAATCAACATACACAAAATATTAGCCCTACTGGATATGTAGTTTCCGAGATATTGACGCCCCCCCCAAAAAAGGGGTGTGGCTCTTCAAGATGCGCAAATGCAATTTCCTCAAACTTTGGAAGCTTATAACTCGAGATTGGTAATAGCTATCAAGGTCAAACTTGGTATTCTAACTTATATTCCACCATATTACACAAATATGGCATCAAATTAACTGTTATTCCTTCTTTTTTGAAGTTATCTGCACTCAAAATAGCCACTTTGTTTAACGACGCAATTTTTTGTGATTTCAATGTCACCCTGTGTCCATATGAGTGAGTGTATACATCTTAAATTACAGATATATTATCTATGGGTAGTTGTCTCTAGCCACAAGCAAGCACAGGCTGATCAAATGAATTAAATTGGAATGGCATCCATTCAAAGTTGGGACCAGCCCTAAAAAAGTGAAAAAAGCCCATGTTTCCCATTAACGGTTCGTCATGTGGACAGTTAAAATCTTTTCTTAAATTTACATCAGTTAACCAGATATATTAGATCTACTTATACACCAAATTTCAGCTTTGGTACTCAGCTCTTCATGGTTAGATACTATGTTGAAAACTACACATATTTTAACATAATTGGAAATAACTAAATTTTGTAAGAGTTGGGTAATTCCATGCCATGGGATCATAGATTTTTAAAATTTTTTATACTGATAGTTATTCATGTGAATTGAAAAACCTGAAATTTTTAGACTCCAATTCCTGTTTGTTTTCCTGTAGCGGCAGTTTGATTTAAAAGGGGGCGTGGCACAAATTAGTTGATTTTCGTATGCTAATATCTTTGGAAGTACAGCACCTATAACCTTCAGATTTTACTGCTGATTCCAAATCTGCAATCAGAAAAGTTGTAGCATGTACC